AGAGTAGGGACAAGTGACCATCCCTAAGTGGTGAAAAGAGAAGTTAACCCAAGAGATACATAAAGTGGGGAAGCAGCAGAGTTAGAATTGGAGAAAGCAGGGAGTGAGGCTGAGGGGTGCCACGTTCCCTATAGATAACTCTTGAAGGGTCGGTTTCTCTTCTGTAAAATAGAGACCATAGCTCAGAGGTTTGTCATAAGGGTTAAATGAGATAATGCATAAAACATGCTTCCAGGAATAAAGAATCATGGAAGTGAATAAGGAAGAAAGGAGATGGAGGAAGTGGAGGGAGAGAAAATGACTTAGAAAATGTGTGATTAATTAAGTAATTAATCCTCCCAAAGCTTTCACATTCAGCCAAAGCACATTTGTGCATACAAGTCTCATTTGTCTACCTTGGAATAATCCATTTTGTGAGTTATTCATAGAAGATGAGTGAACTCAGCCCGGCTTTCTAATACTCTGCTGCCTTCTTGTTCACCTGTTTTCTGACCAGGAGGCATATAACTCAAGTTTTCATCAGCCTAAGCCCAACCACATTTTGGAGGTATATCTGCATCACAAATTATCTTGGGTTTTCAAAAATCAAAAATAAACCACTTTACCAAAAATTCAATCCCACTCCATCACTTTGGTTTCTCTGTGCCTTGTGCACCATTATTGGCATGAGGTGTTGTGAGCTAACTGTGCCACATTTTCAGGAGCCTTCATGTCATCCTGTTTCAGCCCTTGACAGGTGCTCCTGCCGGGTTCTCCAGCTTTCCTTTTGATTTCCCCAGGATATTATCATTGTGGCTGGTCAAGGGAGGGGACATCCTGAGAAAATCAGCTAACAGTTCCTCCTGGAAAATTCAAGCTCTCTGATTAGAGGGGCAAGAAATCAAATTAATATGTATTTAAGCACTTTTTATAGAATTCCCGCTATGTGCTAGGTGCACATAGTTCCTAGGTAATGGTATTCAGCAGCCAACTAGCTGACTAAGTCATTTTGGAGCTAACATTTTAGTGGAGAATGTAGATAACCCCCCCAAAATTAATAAAGAAGAAATAAAATTTTCGATAATGAGATGTATCATGAAGAAAAATAAAAGCAGGGTAGAAGGGGCAGTGAAAGTGATAGGGTGGTCTGGAAAGGTTGATCTGAGGAGGTGATTTTTGAGATCTGAATGAAGTGGGAGAACAAGCCATGGGGAGGGATAGAGAAAGAGCAATGCAGGCACAGAAAATATTAAATACACAGTGGGTGGGAACTAACAATTAACTTGGCAAATGCAGCTGGAACAGGGTAACGGGTGAAGGACAGAGCCCATTCAGATAGGCAAAGGTTGGAGTTTCAAGACCTTGTAGGCTAAAGTAAGGGGTTTGGATCTTATCAGAATTGAGATGGTAATCTATTGAATGGTTTTGAGTTGGAGAATGATGCAACTTATTTGCATATTAAAAAGATTACTCTGACTAATATATTGATAGCAGACTGTCATGGGACCAGAGTGGAAGCTGGTTATAGTAAATAACTGGAACTGTTTAGGAGAGAGAAGACCGTGCATTTCACTAGAGTAATTATAGCACGGGTAGCTTAGAAGAATGGGATTCAATACATATTGTGGAGAAAAATCCAGCCTGACTTTTTGCTGTGTTTAATGTGGGACGTAAAGGGAAAGAAGGAGTCAAGGATGACTGCTAGGTTTCAGTTTTTAGCAACTGGGTAAATGGTTAACTGAGGAGATGAGGTACTGTATCAGTGAGAACTCATGCAGAAAAAAGGAACCACTCCAAGTATGTTAAGTATGAAGAGGTTTCATACAGGGAATCAAGTACTTTCAAAAGCATTGGATTAGCTGAGGAAACACAGGTAAGAGAAGGTGCCCAGTAGTACTTAGTTCTGCTGTCACTACTTGGGCCAGTGAATTCAGAAGTTGTTGCTGCCACTCAGGTTAGGAAAGTGAAGGAAACTAGTGGTGCCCTACAGCACTGAGAAGAGTAACTGGAATGGATCACCCAGAGGCCACCGCAAAAACTCATGTCTGCCAAAGCTTTCATGTCCTACATTGATGCATGGGGAAGAAGAGTATGTTCTACGCTCTTTCATCTTTGAAATCTCTCACTAGTGCACCTCATTAGCAGAATACAGCTGCAGCCAGAAACTGAAAGGCAGAAGAGTCTGACAGATAAAGTTTCCAGCCTTTCAGCTGACTGTTGCGAAAGAAAGCATATAACGCAGGACAGAGGAGAGCAACAGAATCTTGTAGGCTAAGGAGAAGATAATGAAATATTTGGATTGTCATGTCATAAATCTGTGTGTCTATCGGACACCCAAGCAGAAGTGTCAAGAAGGAAGTAGAATACACAAGTCTAGGAATCATAGGAAAGGTCAAGGATGGAAATATAAATTGGGGAGCCATTAGAACATAAATGGTAATTAAAGGCATGCAACTGGAGAGTATTACCTAAGGAATAAGTGTAGATAGAGAAAGGTCCTAGAACTGAGCCCTGTATGCTTCTGGAAAAACTTGGACATTGGGGAAATCAGGAAGCGCTTCTAGGGTTAAAAGGATTGAAGGCGGCACACGGTGGCTCATGCCTGTAATACCAGCACTTTGGGAGGCTGAGGTGGGTGGATTACTGGAGATCAGGAGTTCAAGACCAGCAGCCTGGCCAGCATGGTGAAACCCCATCTCTACTAAATACAAAATTAGCCAGGCATGGTGGCATACACCTATAATCCCTGTTACTTGGGAGGCTGAGGCAGGAGAATGACTTGAACCCTGGAGGCGGAGGTTGCAGTGAGCCGAGATCGTGCCATTGCACTCCAGCCTGGGAAAAAAAGAACAAAACTCCATCTGAAAAAAAAAAAAAAAAAAAGATTGAGGTTGGGACTGGGACCTGACAGAAGCTCAGACAAATGGCTTACATATTGCAGTCAAGACTACAAGAAGGCTTAGAGGTCAGGAAGAAGGGGAGATGATGCCAGCCAATGCAACTGACAAGGTAGGAGAATAATCTACACAGTATGGTCCTCTGAAAGTCAAATGTCAAATACTGATGAGAGTTGTGTTTTGTTTTGTTTTTGTTTTTGCTTTTGCTTTTGTTTTTGTTTTTGTTGTTTTGAGACAGTCTCTTTCTGTCACCTAGGCTGGAGTGCAGTGGTGTAATCACGGATCACTGCAGCCTCCACCTCCCAGTTCAAGAAATTCTCATGCCTCAGCCTCCTGAGCAGCTGAGATTACAGATGTGTGCCACTATGCCTGGCCTGATGAGAGTTTTTGTTTTTGTTTTTAAAATCAAATTAAATTTTACGTTCTGGGATACATGTGAAGGATGTGCAGGTTTGTTACATAGGTAAATGTGTGCCATGGTGGTTTGCTACACCTATCAACCCATCACCTAGGTATTAAGCCCAGTATGCATTAACTATTTATCCTGATGCTCTCGTGCCTTTCAGCCCCTCGTTGACAGACCCCAGTGTGTGTTGTTCCCCTCCTGCGTCCATATATTCTCATTGTTTAGTTCCCACTTATAAGTGAGAACATATGGTGTTTGGTTTTCTGTTCTTGTATTAGTTTTCTGAGGATGATGGCGTCCAGCTGCATCCATGTCCCTACAAGGGACGTGATCTCATTCCTTTATATGGCTTCATAATATTCCATGGTATATATGTACCACACTTTCTTTATCTAGTCTGTCACTGATGGGCATTTGGGTTGATTCCATGTCTTTGCTGTTGTGAATAGTGCTGCAGCGTACATACACATGCATGTATCTTTATAATAGATTAATTTCTGTTCCTTTGGGTACATACTCAGTAATGGGATTGCTGGGTCAAATGGTATTTCTGGTTCTAGGTCTTGGAGGAATTGCCACACTGTCTTCCACAATGGTTGAACTAATTTACATTCCCACCAACAGTGTAAAAGCATTCCTATTTCTCCACAGCCTTACCAGCATCTGTTGTTTCTTGACTTTTTAATAATCATCATTCTGACTGGCATGCGATGGTGTCTCATTGTGGTTTTGCTTTGCATGTCTCTAATGATCAGTGATGAGAGTTTTTAACAAGATGGAGTATGAGAGTTCAACACTGTATTTGGCCAGATGGAAGCTGTAGGAAACCTTAAGCAGAGTCGTCTTCAAAATCTTGAATGAAGTAGATGGAGGTAGGGATAGAGAATGTACAGTGAGCAAATAAAGAGAGAATTTACAGAATTATTTGGACTCATTGTGATGTAATATAAGGAGAGCAGAAAAAAAGAGCAGCAGTTGGAAATGATGTAGAATCTGGGGAGAGACCTTTTAAAGAAATGTGATATCAAGGCTTGTCTGTGTGCTGAGAATGATGTGTGATCTTGGAAGTCAGCTTGAGAATGGAGCAGTCAAAACACAAATTGGTTGGCAGGTCATGATCAACATGAGAGGAATCTCTATCCTGCTTCCAGGCTATCCTTGGCACTGTTATTTTTTAAAAAATAATGCACTGACTTTGCTTTCAAAGAAATTACTGGACAGTCAAAATATACACACGTGCAAAAATTGAGGAGCAATTTCCCATAAAATGTAAGCAAGAATAATAGTTATTTTACGTTATTTCTGTAAGTGTTAGTGGCAGTAAGTAAAGAATGAATCGTAAAATTGTGACAGGGAAGGTAGAGGAGTGCTTTTTGAAACCTGTTTTCCATTAGATCTTAAGGAAAGTTGAGAACATAAATTTGTGGAGAAGTGAGGGTGATTATTCTTAAGGGAGGCGGAAGCAAGATTTAATAACAGTGCAGAACAAGGAATCAGCAAAGCCTGTTGAAAATGTCAGAAAACGTAGGGGAGGCTGGAGCGGAGGGTTAGAGTTGGGAGACCTGAGTGAGGGTCTTGGCTTCCACTCAGTGGGCAGTTGGGACCCACCTAATGTTGAATAACCATGGGGTTCTGGAATGGGCTGATACAGTGACATATCGCCCATATTAGTGGATCCATGAATCATTTTCTACAAAGTCATCTTGTTTGGTTTTCAGACAAACCTTGGAAATCAAGAAAGTTCTGGAATGATGAAGCTGTTCATGCCGAGACCTAAAGCGCTGGCCCAGTATGAGTCCTTTCAGTTCATGCCATGGCAATTTTCTTGGAGCTCCTTTTTATTGTTAGTTCTCATTTGTTTCCATATTTAGTGAACATACACTTAATTGCAAAGCTGTCATTAATAAAAATTCTTACAGTACCTCACTGCACAAACATCTTTCATGTGTGCTAGGCATTTTCAAAAGTGGAATCATTCTGCATCTGATTTGTATCATCTTATTTAAACCAAGACAATATTGGCCATACTGTCTACCAAAACAGGCTGTAAGAAATTATAGTAATTTTTGCAGCTATAGAGTAATTTTTGTAGCTATAGAGTAATTTTTGCAGCTATAGCTGCAAAATTTACTATATAGAGCTATAGCTCTATAGAGTATATAGAGTATATAGCAATAGAGCTATCTCTTCTGGGTTTCCAGAAAGTGTTCTGCTCTATGTGATTTTAAGAAAACTGGCACATTGGTGGGAGGATAGTAGTTGGGAAATGCTTCTAGGATTAAGAGGATTGAGGTTGAGACTGTAGGTAAGCTTAAAGGAATGGCTGAAGTATCCCATCAAGACGTCATAGTGTCATTAGAATGACCATGTTCTCTTGTGAATCCTCCCCAATGGTATAGAATCCTTTGATTTCAATTCCTACCACTCTGGGAAACCCCAAGGCTTGTGCTCCTGGTGCACAGCTCATTTCAAGTATGTTGAAGCATGCCTCCTTGTGGGAATGCTGGATTCCCAGCCCAGTGAGGTAATGACCAAGCAGCATCTTCAGAGGAAGGATGGCTGTGCAGCGTGGTGAAGGACTCAATGAGAAGGTAATTGATGCTTCACCTTTTCTTGTTTTCTGTAAAGTAGGGGAATATGACTCCTCCACCCGGGTTTTTTTTTTTTTTTTTCTTTCAAGCAATCAAAATTCTTTAAGCTTCTTGGAGGATGGGATTTTCTAGAAACTGTGAAATTTTTAGGGGTGGTTGGGGTCTGAGCAATCCAGAGAAATATAGATGCAAGCTCAGGGGAAAAGATGAAAGGTGCTAAGGAAGAGGCAGAATAGTCCTATAGAGAAAAGGCACACACATACATGCATACACACACTGAGACTCACACAAGTCTTGTTAAAAAACATTACAGCAAACTGGAGTTCTTAAATCCCCAGTGCATGGAGCTTTGGGAGGGTAATTCTGTTAACTTAAAGAGAAAGGGTAGTCCCTCTGTAATGAATACAGTTCTTGTGCATACTCAGCTACTGTGCTCTAATGATGTTTTACTGAGCTTGAGGATCTGTTAGACAAAATATGCTGATCTTCTGTACCCTGGGAACTTTCTCCAAGTGAGGTCACACTGCTGCCCAACTCAGTTCTATAACTGCTCTGATGATGCGATTTTATTCCATGTCCAGTGATTTAGAAAACACAGAGTTCTGAGTTTGAGTTCTTTCTCATGAATCCGTTAGTGATTGTGGTGGGTTTCATTGATTTCTTCCTAATGATTTGTCTTCTCTTTAAGACTGGTGCTATTTGCAGTTTAGTGATATGTACTTGTAAGGATTTGGGTCTGATGTTTGACCCATCAGCCAGGTCGTCTGCAGTTTGGGATTCTTAGTAATCTAAGGTCCAATGTCTGATCCCTTCTCCTTCTTGCCTTATTCTGTACATGCTGTTTAGTTACAGGATGAACTTGGTCCCTAAACATTCCAACAGCCACTGGGCTTTCAACAAATGTAACTGAATGAAAGACAAATCTTTCATGTGCAGATTTGCCTGCTCTAGAACACAGAGTTGAAAATACCTCTCATTACCTCCTTAAAATTATATGCTTGGCCTCCTTTGAAGCCAAGGTATAGCTTTTCAAGCCAGTTGCCCTGTGCTGTGAGAGGGTCAGCACCTTTCTGAAGACGGTTCTCACTACTGCTGTACCTCGTGCTGTTGAAAGCAACAGGAGCTCTGCGGGTGTGTGCAATTTCTCTGTAGCTGCCCGAGGCAGGGCCCTGTATCCTGTGGTTGCTCAGGGGGACTCTTGGGCAGGAGATGCCTGCAGGTCGACTTTGTAGTGACCTTCACCATCCTGGTTCCAGCCATTTTTCCTTGGCACCATCCAGGCCAAGCTTAATGCAGCAAGGACCAAGATGTCCTCATCCTCAAGCATGCCTGCCTCATGCGAATAGAGTGAAGCTGGCTCATTTCCAGCATTTTCTTTCTGAAATTAAATTTTCTTATGGCAGTAGGTTTAATATGACTAGGCAAAACCCTAGGGTTTTACACAAATTATTTATCATTTGGACGTAATTCTCACCATTTAAGCCCCTCTGGAGTCTACATTACTGAATGAGACATTGTGGCCTTCACCCTTCCATCAGGATGGATTGGGTGAAGGGTCTTATCTAAAATTCCCAGTGTGCTCTAATTGTCAATCAACCATTCAAAACAAACAAGTGACCTCCACTACCTACAGGATAGACTTGGTGCAAGTCTAGTTTTAGTGTGAAAAGCAATTTCCATATAAACATAGATTATAAAGGGGGCTTCTGTAAGGGTCTGAGCAATAGCTCATTGTATGTGACTAGCAAAGTGGGGAGAAAAAACAAAGAAATCTCCCTATGGGTGCAGTGTTTTTGGTTTTATAGAAAGAGAGAAAAACAACTCTTTTTGAATCAAATCATCAGGCACAAAAAACAAATGCTGCCAGAGTAATTACCCTGAAAAAAACTCAGTCCTGAGGGCTCTCCACGCCATAGGTTTCCTGGTGCCACCTGCAGCTCATCCCAAGAAGGGGTTGGAGACGCATCAGGAGCCTTCGGCAAAGGGGAAACACCCTGCAGTGGGGCTGACTTGGCAAAGAAGCACCCTCAGAGGAATGAGAGGTGCAGCTTCTCTCCCTTTCCTCCTTGCCATGTGCTGAGAGCCCCTGACTCCAGGATCTTTCTGCAGTCCTTCCCCTCAGGTTGCTTAGACAAGGAATTTAACTGCACTTCAACCACTGAACAGTAGAATGGGGTCCTAATTGTAACCCTGTCATGGATTTTGAAGGATTTAATGAGACAATCCATGGGAAATGCTAAGCACTCAGTATGCCCCCAAGTCAGTGGAGTTGCTTCCATTCCCAACCTCGGTCTTCAGTCCCTGGTCACTTCACAAGCAACTAGGGACTCAACACTAATTCAAGGCACAAATCTGATTGCAGGGACCTCCCAGACGCGGGAAGGTCCTCTTGGCCACTAGGGGGCACCAACTACATGGAAAAAAAGGATGGAATTTCGAGGACTCAGTCCACTGCCCTGCAATGTAAATCCTGTAACTCATTTAATTTTCTTGGAGCAAAGTTTGGGAATGGTTGATGCAGATGGTGCTATTTCTACTTGGGAAGGTGGTTACACTTACATGTCAAATGAAACTTTTCTTAGCTCCTCCCTGTGACTCACCAGCTCCAGCTATTATGCACTCATACTTTTAAAAAAAGTTTTCGGCTCAACCCCTTTTACTTTCAGTCCTCTTTCTTCTGTATTCTCCAATGCCTGGGAAAATAGACAATATCTTCCGTCATGTGGAAGAGGAAGAAGAGTTATGTAGAAGAAAGAAGCGTCCTTACTATGAAATGTTTCTGACTTTTTGAGCCAACTACATCTGGATCAGATTTTTCCATCTATAGTCATATCTTTTCATAGCCTTTTAAACCTGGCTCATGAGAGGACAGAGAGAGTGCAATGTCCCTGAGATATCTAGGAAATCATGGAGAATTTCTGATCAGAATTAACCTTTATTGTATTTGAAAGTAACCTAGATCCTAGGAAGCATGAGATGCCATGGGCTTCCCAGAACCCATAGCAGGTGAGAAAGAACTGGAATACAGGGTGAGGTGTGATGAATTGAACTGCTTTTCCTGGAACACAGAATACAGCCAAGGTATGAAAGCTGTTCCCCAGAGGGGAAAAATGTACGTTGGCCAGTGAGGGTGCATCCAGGAGCCTGTGGGCTTTCTTGGGCATTGATGAAACCAATATGCCAGGCATCACCTGCTTGAGAATTACTAGAGATGTTTGTCAAACCCCCAGGTTTTGAGCCCTAGCTCAGAGCTCTGGAATTAGACTATCTTGATGTACATCTCAGAAATATGCAACTACTTTGAGGTGGTTTTACACTTCCTAAAATTTAAGAACAATTGTTCTAGAAGATAATTCTACCTCCACTGACATTGGAAATACATGTAAGGATGGCTCTGCATGTACTTTGTCACAGCAAGTTGACATTTTCTTGAATCACTGAAATGAATTACTGCTATAAAAAATCCAATCCAACGATAAAGCCCGAGATGATCAGAACTGTTCATCCCGAAACTCTTCATGTCCCAGAATCACACACGGTGTCTGGCACACCTGCTGGAGTGGATTCCTGTGGTCGGTGACCCCCCAGTTTGTGTGCCAACAGGGCTTAGAGCTGCAGGCAATGCAGTTGCCACATGGTATCTCAATGTCAAGAATCAACAGTTCCAAGAAGCCAAGAGGGTGCAGGTTGGCAGTAGTGGGGTGGGGGGATCTGGTTGCAAGATGGTGTCATGGAGCCTTTCTGTGGCATTGAAGGAACAAAGACACAAGAACATAAAACACATGGCACTTTTGTGCTGCTGGCACTGTTTCTACATTGAATGACCTTCCCAGGAAATCCCCACTGAAACACAAGGTGAGTTCTGCCAGATTAAAACGAGATAATTCCAATGAGTTTATCAGGAAGTGGAAGTGGAGAGCTACGTTGGAAATCTGTTTTCAGACATCCTGTGTTCATTTCTGTTTCTGGAAACCACTTCTAGATGAACCTTGGACTCAGTTCATCTTCCTTTTGCTCTACATTCTCTGATTTCCAAGCAATAAAACAAACAGGCCTACATGGGTTCATTTGATAGACATGGTGCCTTGCTCACCCATCTCTTCAGCCTCTCTCTCCAGTCATGCAGACAGTGCTTTCCTGAGGAGTAGCAATGAGGAGATAGGAGAAAGTAGATTATCTGGTTCTTAACTGGCTCTTTACTTCTCAAATAACCTTCCTCTTTGGGGCATTTTTGCACAATTCTCTCTAGATTGAATGCATTGAGGGCAAAATAACCCCAAACTGATTGCTGCAGTTATTATTATTGTTCTCCTCCTCCTCGTCCTCCTCATTTTC